GCTTGGTTGTTTGCTTGCAGATGTTTCATTACCCAACTAGGTAACATCATCAGTGCTGGTGAACGTGAGGTTTGCTCCCTGTTTCTATATAGTAGCTTGCCCTACCAGTGTTGGTAGGGGTGTGGTTTTCTGATGAAGTCAGGTAATGAAACCTCTTCAATCAAACAACCAAGCTCAGAGAGCACCAAAGACTCCACAGTTCAATCCTGAGCTACATATATTCTCTTCTATTAATAACTCTATTAAGGATATATGGTGCTTTCCATTTGGATCCAAAGCAAGATGCTCTGAAATGGGCATGGATGTGCAGACTACACTTGTCAGCACCTAATTAAAGAAGTTGCATCTTTTCCTGGACTTGCACAGCAGCTATGCAATCCCAGGAAAATATGTGTGTTAATTAAGGAGATAGTCACAGGATGCAACAAGGTGCTTCCATGCAGGTATGGGCATGCTATTGTATTTTGCTTGGATTGCACAGCTACCGTGTGTCAGCTCCATGATGTGGTCAAACCAGGAAACAGACTTCAGGGAAATTTAAAACTATTTTTATTAAGATGGACTATTAGAATCTTGCAAGTCTGATTGTGCTTTACTTCCCCCCACCCTCTCATACTCCTGTGAAACTAAGGAGGTATCTGAGTCATTCCCCCCTCCCCTCGGATTATTTTGGGTTTGAGTCGCACTTTTTACCTCTTCATTCTGGGAATGGAGCTGGCTTATCTCCATCAAGTCATCTTCCTTACTCTCTATGCCATGTGAGCCCAGGAAAAGATGCAGCTTCTTTAAGAAGGCATCAAAAGGGCAGCATATATCCCTACACCAAATCACTTTTGGATTCAAAGCACTGCGTAACCCTAACCACTATGTATTGCTATGCTTTTTAATAGCATGTTTTATAAACTAACACCTTTAATGGAACTGCTTTCAAGGTTAGTTGTAGATCCCACAGCTGCTGAAAATCATTGTTCTGTTAGGATAAGTTTATTGGGAAAGGATTAAGGTGAATACAGGTAGTCCTTGCTTAACAACCACTCATTCAGCAACTGTTCAAAGTTACAATGATGTTGAATGAGGAGACTTACGGCTGGTCCTCAAGATGTGGCAGTTGCAGTGTCCCTGTGGTCATGTGATTGCCATTTGCAATCTTCACTGCTGGCTTCTGACAAGCAAAGTCAGTGGGGAAGCTGGCAGGAAGTTGCAAATTGTGGTCATGTGACATCACACTTAACAACTGTGTGCACACTTAACAACCACAACTGCCACCGTAAGTCATCGTGGTCACGTGATTTTTGGCTTTACAATAACGTTGCTTAGCAATGGAGTTTCCGGTCCCAATTATATTATTTGTAATTACTTGTACACATATGAATCTATAACTATTGTTGGGAATTTTGCATTGATTAAACACTGATATGCCCCTCTCGGTATTCCCTGTTTCATGGATGTTGATTGCTATTTAAGGATTTTGCAAGTCCAAAATGCCACTCCTAAATGTGTGTGCCTGCAAATAAAGCCCAGTGAGTTCTGTACGCCTTCCTTTCAAGAAAATATGTTCAGAGTTGCACCCTATAAAGACATGCAGACACAAAAATTCACTGCGGGAAGTAAAAATGCATTTTACATTAAGAAAAAATTAAGTACATACATCTTTGTGAAAAAGTCATTCCCCCGCTTGGATTTTGTTTTTTTTTTTATCGCTATTGAATGTTATCAGAACTTCGTCTGATCCTACTAACTGTAAAGGGAGTTTAAGTGAACAAATAAAATCAACACTGAATGCTCGGCACATTGCACGTCCGTTGACTTAGTTTATGAAATGAGTGAATCAAGCACTAAGTATTCTTTGTACAATCCTGTGAAAATGAGGGCACAAAAGCCAGATAAGGATGGGAACACCTGGTCGACGATGGCTGAAAGCAAAAAAGCTAAAGGAAGTTGCTAACCTGACACTGACAAATCCGGACTCCTACCTACGAGCTACTTCTATGGAAAAAACAAACTACAGTACTCCTCTTCCATCCCACCCACAAAACGTATAAACGCATCATCACACAGTTTTTCCATCCCCCAAACCAAACACTAGGAAAGTGGTTAAATCAATGCTCAGGCGCAACTCCCACGCCCCGAATTGCCCCGGAAGTAACTTTCTCGAGTTTCTCTACTTCCCCTGCGATCCGGAACGCTCCTCCCTAATTGCTTTTCCGTCTGCCTGCGGAGGGAAAGAGCGTTCTAAAGATGACGGAGGTTACCGTGATCCTGTCAGTGTCTGAACGGAAGGAGGGAAATACAAGTTAGCTGCAGCGTTCATTCTGAGAAGAAGGCTCTCTTTTTTCTTAAACCATGGAATAGACCCACAGCCATCGTCGCTCACGAGTGCCAGGAGTTAATTTTCTGGGGTTTCCCCCCCCCCGCTGATTTAGCCAAACTTTTGGGCAGAGCTTCTTTATAAAGTATTTTCAGTGCGTACGTTCTCTCAAGCCGTCCTCGCTTCTCTGCAGGCTTTACTCCATTTAGATATCATTCTAAAATCTTATTTATTGGCACAGCGATTTCTACATTCATACTGTTGTAGCACTTTAAATGTGAATAAGAGTTTCAAACACTCGCACTGTAGTGTTTTCCTGACTTGGTGTAACCAGAAAAGAGTTTTGCAGGATTGAGATGACTGATGTGCTGACTCAGTTAATAGGAAGAATATGTGTTTAAAAATATTGTGTAAATCCAGAGTCTCATGTTGGAGACTTGCTGGATAACTGAATCTTGGTCCTGATCTTGCTCATGAACTCTCCTGTTGAATCTAGCACTGGAAGACATTCTGGAAATAGCAGTGAATTTAGTACAGACTTACAGAGACTATAACTGAACCTTCACATCAGGGTGAATGCTATGAAAGGACAGAAGGTCGCAGACATTCTGAAGAGACAGCATTTACTTGGCTAAAAGAAGGAACTATCTGTATGATGGAACAATGTGGCTTGTCTCCAGGCATAGCTGAACATACATAGTTTTTGCAAAGTAAATGCTTTGAATGAAATTATACTGTATTTGTAGACAGTATTCTTCTGTAGGAATATGCTATGTTCCCAGAGTGAAATGCTGTTTTTCTGGATGTGGTTGGCACAATACTATGGACATATATTCTGTACATCTTTGGCCTATCCTAATTTATTTATTACTTTGAATTTCACATGTATATCCTGCTGTTCATGCAGGAGCTCAAGGCAGTATACGTGATGCTTCTTCCCTATTTCTTCACAACAACCATCTTATGACGTGGGTTGGGCT